ACGGAATCCTCTAGCTTAATGGGAACATAAAGTCGAAAACACCATCGGCACAGGGCTAAAAATGACCCTTGAAGCAATACATGTACACAGAGAACGAAACAATAGTCACAGGCATATATTCTTTATCTTCTGCAAATAACTAATATTACTGCTGCACTGAGAAGTAGAGAGAGGAGCTTGGCCTCCGCTATAGTATAGCCATACGTTTCTCTTTTACTGCTCCCGGGTGGCCAACGCAAACACACGAGATAGTGTGTATGCGTTGTGATGCAAGCAAAAGGTGAAGAACTCAGACAGACCAACCGTTGCATGGCCTTTATAATCAGTACGTGTTCTCCGAAGAATCATCAGTGACTGCGGTCTATCTTTTTTATTTTTATTTTTTATGCTCTGACTTGTTAGCAACAAAAAAATCCATTTGTCAATTCTGTCGCTCCACAGATTGCCTTTATCTGAGCTTATTTAAGGGCAAATATACAGCCAATTGAGGGAAGGGGAAAGCAGAATAGTGGGAGAACAATAAACAGGGAGGTTATTTATAAAGCACAGATCAATAGCCATTATATATATTTTTTTAATACAGTTTGCAATATGGCTCACCGCATGTGTTGCAAATTGAGACTGAGGGGAGGATGAGCAAATATAGAAGCTATTATTCCTTTGGATAACACACAAAAGTATCCAGACTTACTCCACAGTCCATTAGTGCTGTGTGTGCACATTTGTCATGATTCCTTGAATGCATCACCAAGTTTTTTTTTTTAGCAAGCACAAACCTGCATAGTTTTCATGTTATGAGATGACAACCTCTCTGAACGTCACTCGAGGGGCCCGCTCTTTGCAAAGGTCTCTCTCTCTTTCTCTCACACACACACACACACACACACACACACACACACACACACACACACACACACACACACACACACACACACACTCTGCCAATGAGCCCCCCATCCGACCTGTTCAGCATTCCCGTCTCGTCGTTTCCAGTCCAGCGGGATCATCCATCTCCATTTCCCCTCGTCACGTCGGCAGTAGCAGCTCAGCCTTCATCAAGGTAATTACAAAGAGCACAATCATCGATGAGTCTGACACGCCTTTAAGACACCTGCTCGGTCCACATTCACCCGGCTATAATCTGAGTTCAAAATAGAAATATTGATTAAAATTTTTTGAAACAAATTGCTGAAAAAGTAAACACTAAATTAGAATGCAGATCTTTGCCAAGGCCAAACGAGCATCATTTTGTGTCAGTAACACGTTCATTGCTACCCAGATTCTGCATAGACCTGAATTATGTCATGAAATTTTCATGTACTGCTCATTAAAAAGTTAATAGATTTTAGGCAAAAATTAACAAGCAATGAATGATTAACTGGTGTTATCACTCGATGAAATATTACACATTGTACTTTTAAATTTTTTATTTCATATTGTTAATGGACCCTTTTATTTTATAAATGACACCGATTTAAATTCAAGACTTGAAGTGTAATTCTGTATTGAAAAAAAACAAAACGTTTTATTCAACCAACAAACAGATTAGTGTGCTGTCATGCTCATTTACAATTTACATTCAATTTTCTGTTGTTCTTTTAAAATGGCTCCTTACGATATGCCTTTCATTGTATTATTGATGCCGCTAATTGAAAAAGTGAAATCCAAAATTCAACCCCAGAAAATGACTGAAATGGATTAAAAAGTCTTTGGTAGCTAATACGTGTTCACACTTGTTCATTCGTCAAATGAGTGTCAGCGAGCAAATAAAAAAAAAAAAATCCAATCACGCCCCTTGCAGAACTTCCTCATGTGAGAGAATGCATCCGAGCGAAGGGGACGAAATTGGTGGTTGATTTCACTCTCATTGGCTCACCTTCGCTGACAAAAGTCGGATCATTAAAACGCACCATTTCAATATTCACGACTAATTAGGTAAACGAGACGGCAGCTCCAAAGTGGGCTACTCTTAATTAAGTCGGAGAGTTTTTGACTTACACCTTGACTAGGTGGCGTGCGCGTGGACCGTTCATCTTGTCAAGCGCCCCGGCATTTTCCAAGGCGACCTCCGGTGCTGGTCAGAGGGGCGTCGTTCTGTGATAAAGAGCGCCCAAGTCGTGTTGCATAACTGGCTAATTATCACTATGTACTTATATGCAAAGTTAAAAGGTCAAATCTGACTTTTAACACGTCGGCAGATAAAACACATCTTTGACGATTAAAAGCGAAAATTCTCCGGTAACGGGTGCAACTGCATGATCTGATGAATAAATGAAGAACAAGGTTCAAACATGTTGTTGTCGTCACCCTAGAAAAGTTTCTTTTTTTTTTTTTGTGGTGGACTGAATCTCTGTGTGACTTTGGTAGCGCAAGCAAGTGGCTTCAATGTTCTAATTCTTCAAATTGCCATTTTGAAGGCTCTTCCTGATACTCAAACTGCATTGCCGATAGCGCTTGCAGGCCTCGCTGGCTTTATACAGGCAGACTGCTCTCGTATTGGATCTCAGACTGTGCAGGTGTCCCTAATGAAGTGCATACTCCCGAGCGGTGCGTTATATGAGAACGCCGCTGATTTACAGTACTTTCCCCATTAACGAGCGCCGGAGGGGAGGCGGGCTGTCTCCCTATAGAATTAGCGTGCGCAGCCCTGTACTATATACGACAGCGAGTGCCCACTGGATCCAATTGTGCAGCCGTGGGGAAAATTAAATTCTTATTACGTGACCCCTCCTCCCTAACCTGCTCCTCCAGCCGCGCCTGCTCAGCCCCCACAATCGCCTCCCTTCTTTTATTTCGCCTTACTACATTCTCAGAGTATATCACCTCCATGACTGTCCATCTGCTGTATCATGGACCACGGACCGATGGCACATAGACAGAATTCAATGGATCGGAATCAAAACAACTAATTGAATAACGATAATGAATTTCTCAAATTTTGGGGAGCCTGGCTAAATGATCTCGTCTACAATAGTATGATACACAAAATAAGATTAGCGATCTTGTTGAAGAGATCAACCTGTGCAGGATGTAATGGTGCATTGTGGGTTTTATTTGTTGAGATGCCGGTCAGAGTTAAAGGGGCACTTACCCCTCTTGCCCCACTCTAGAACCGCCACTGACACCAGAAAGGTATCTTTACGTAAAACGCGTCCAAGGTGCAAAGTCAGTTGAGGACCGCCGACTGAGCTGATAAAAACAAACAAACCCTAGGACGTCATTGATTAATCGCCTTTCGGCTCATTTGTCATCATGGACTATAGAAAACACTTTGACCCCAAGTGTGTACCCTGTTTAGTATAAACTGAACACCTAATAAAAACCCAAAGACGTTTAACAATAACTCGTGTGGGTAATGAAAATCTTTATAGTACGCGTGTGTGTGCACGTGTGTATGCCAATACATATGACCTGGATCCGTTTCTATATCGCAGTGTGGTACGCACAAAGCAATTCCTAAATTGTGACACCAGGTTGAGACTATGACTTTTTTTTTTTTAACTTGAGGTGCAGAGTGCTGTAGTTACACCCCTGTAAGTGTTCCACATTTATCCACATACTCCCCAATTACTCCCTCTCTTTTCTGATTTAGCCGGCTAATTGAATTTGCGGCCGACTTTTAATTAATAGCAAAGCTGATTTGCATAAAGTTGAACAAATTGCATACGGCGCTCCTCCCCTTCCTCCCCCGCCCCCTCCCCACGTTGCTCCACGTCGGAGCAGGCTGGCGCAGTGCCGAGGGGCGAGGATGGTAAATGACATCAGAACGAACGAAGACAAGTTGGAAGTCTTTGCGGACAAAAGGAGAGAGAGAGAGAGAGAGAGAGAGAGAGAGAGAGAGAGAGAGAGAGAGAGCGCGCAGTTGGTGCAAAAAGACAAATGGGGGGCGAAACCTTGCATGAAAGTGCAAGTGTGTGTGTGTGTGTGTGTCTGTGCGCGCATCCCATTCATCTTCTCCGTCATGCATGTTGAATACTTCCACTGATCACACAAAGAGTGGCTAATTGGTGGCACGCTGACAATGGGCACATGGAAACAAGGTGTAATAGCTGACAAAGTGAACACAGCACATCCACTGGCAACAACATCACACAGGACACAACCGTAACTCGCTGTAGCATCTACCGGTGAAAGGAACACCAGACAATTGCTTGCAACTGAAAGAAATGCAGCCTAGAAATTCCTCGTGGTCCCCTTTGTAATATGCCCACCTTTTTTCTTGAACTTCAAAGTTTACAGTCACATCAAAAATGTTCATTAGAGTAACGTTCAATACGGCCCCGCTAAATCTAAACGTGGTTCTCCGATGAATATTGTGTTTGTGGAATATGAATTAAGCGGCAAAATGGGATTTTTCTCAGGAGGGCGGCCATTTTGCAACTTGCCGTCGACTGAAAATGACATCACACTGACTTGATTCTCAAAAGAAACTTTCTCTTCCCTTTTCGTACTGAACGCACAATTTGTATTCGACATCACTGATTTTAAAAAGAACTTTACTTAATAGGTTTAGCTTTGATGAACCCGTGTTGTTTCGCAATTTAATACCACCACCCGAGTGGTCACAGGTAAGGAGGCACAAGTGCAGATAAACACGCGATTTCCTTTTGGCATTTGTAAATGTAATCAAAGCTCAATCATATCACCCGCAGTGTTTAATTCCCTCCCAAGTGTTGACGTCTGTTCAGCCTCTGCAATGCCCTCCCGTCTCCCACCGAGAAATAAGAGACCCAAACACGTGACGCGTGTTTATCAGGTCGGCATTGACCTTCCGGGCAGCCATCTTGGTTTGGAGGGCTAATTTTGTAAGTGCTTAATGATGATGGCAATAAACCACACCGCTATTACAATTACGCCAGCGAACAAATTAACTCACCTGGTCTGCAGGAGCTTCAGGCTAAGATGCGGACCGATGTATAAAAGGTACAGCTGCTTTTGAAGGATCTAGGATAGACGGCGTTTGCAAGCAAAACAAAATAAAAAAAGGAAGGGGCACATAATTACAACAACAATCTTTATTTCTTAAAATAAGATAAAGGACATTTTGTTATCAATAATACAGGTACAAAAAAAAAAAAAGATCAAAGAATACACGAGAATATGGCAGCCGGGTGGAATTAAGCAAGACTTGAACTGGCATAGATCTGTAAATTGAATGGAAATGGGGCTTTCTGTCGTTGAAACGCGGCACCGATAACGTTCTCCAATAAATAAGGCACAACTGAGGGGGCCTAGCAAGGCTGTCTTTGGAAATTCTATGAAGAAATGGACCGATGATATTCACATTTGACGTGGTGCATAAATACGTAGTCATATTAAATCACTCTCATTAGATATTGCTTTGAATAAAAACAGTGGCGGTTATTACTTAGAAAAAAATTCCAAGGTCCTGCTGTCCCATGTTTAACATGACACAATGTTACGCGTGACCGAATCAGAAATGCACCTTGTGGCCGTAAAGTGAGAGTAATCCAGACATATGTGCCATTTTCAACTCTTGTCCTCAACTTTTTTTTTTTTTTTTTTTAAGTTTTCTTTCTTTTTTTTTTTTGGTGCACTGAAAGACGGTCCTGCAACACATACACACTCCCCGCTGTGCAGTCCTCACACACAGATAAGCAGGCGGGGCGCGCTGAAGAAAGCGTAAAAAGTGGACAAGATAAAAAGTTAAGAGGATTAGTTTTGAGTGTCACTTCCTTGTTGGCACCGAGAGTGAATCCATAACGGGGAGAGTTGGCAAAAATAAAAGCAGCGATTGTAGGAGGGGACGGGCAAGACAAAAAAAAAAAAAAAAAAAAAAAAAAAAAAAAAAAAAAAATTCTTTTCGTGCTTGTCATCCATCATAGTGAGAAAAAGTCACTGGATGGAAACGACGGCCACACTGTCCTGGGCTGCTTTTTTTTTTTTTTTTTTTTTTTAAACCCACCTGTATGGAGAGGGTCAAAGTTATTAAGAATCAGGGGCCTTGAAGATAAGGTGGTTTTCTATATCTCGTGGGCGGTAAGATGATGTTCTGGCACGCCGTTGGTGTGAGTCACCGCTGTGTTGTTCTCATTGAGGCGCCTCACGCGGTACACTTCGTAGTGGATGCTGCTGGTGATGTCCTTAATGTTCTGCATGTGGGTCCTGGAAAGGCACAACGTAAAGATGAGATCACCCCGCGACGGATGCGTGGCCAAAAAAAAAAAAAAAAAAAGTCGACGGTACGGAACGCTCCGCTCACCTGATGAGGAGATCTCGTAAATAGGCGAACTCACAGTGGGCTATGTTTTCAACTGACGGAGGGAAAACAAGTGGTTAGGTGGCGGCACCGGCGGGTCAAAACGGAGCAAGACTGCTTCCTTAAATTGTACACCAGGGAGATTCTGTGGCTTTTTTTTTCCTCTTTTTTTTTTTTTTGCTCTCTCATTACATCTCAGTTGCCAACTTCATCTCTGCGGCATCGCTACGTGGCGATAAGGCTAAATTGCTCATAGCCGCACGCGTCGACACAGCGGGAAATGAAACTTCCTTTATGAGACATTTGGTCGAGGGACACTGCATGCCTCCTATCTGGAGCGATAATGTAATTAAGTACACAAGTGAAAACGACTGTTAACCAGCGCGGCTCTTTATGATATTATTAATGACAGCGCCCCACTTCCCGTGTCTGCATGAGGCCTGCGTCAGCTGCCGAGCGCATGACACCAGCCTCAAAAGTGCATTGTTTTACTGCCCGACTGTCGCTTGGCAATTCTTTTCACACACATCCAATTTTAAGGAGCGCCTGCAGTTAGCGGGTATCTCAGTTTTTAGCTGAAATTAAAAATAGCCCTACATAGTGTTTCAGCAACGTCACTGTGACAAACCCCGCCCCAAAATGTCCCTTCGCGTCAAGTTTCTTAAACTTCCGGTAGATTGTGGGTGACATATGAAATGAGAAGAAAAAGGGCCCGGAGAGGAAGTTGTACCTTCAATGGTTCCCCACTTGGTTTTCCTCCCCAGCAACCTCCTGCCGTTGACCTGGTACTCCTGATCGCTGCCCACGACGGCAAACGGAACCATCTCCTGCACACATGCAGAACCGCAAGATGCCAAGTGGCCATCCCCCACGCGCAAAGTTTGCGCAGCCGTTCGAAAAAAACTTTCAAGATCCTCACCCTGATCTTCTCGTTGATCATTCTGTCCTCGGCGTCCTCGTCGAACTCTTTCTGCGGGTAGATGTCGATCCCGTTGGCTCGGAGCTCTTCCCGGATCTGCTCGAGTCGAACAACATGGGACAGTTGTGAAAGCGCTCAAGGCAAGGAATTCATTTGCTTTCATATAAAAAAAAAAAAAAAAAAATGTAAACATTGAGGTAGATTTCAAGGTCATGAATTGTGTGTTTGGATGTTACCTTCTTTTTAAAGAAATCCCTCTCCTCTAAGGTGAGTGTATCCGCTTTGGCAATCACCGGGACTATGTTGACAACCTTACTGAGACGCCTCATGAACTCCACATCAAGAGGCCGCAGACTGGGAAGGAGAAAAAAAAAAAAAAAAAAAAAAAAAAAGTCAATATGCAGTACACGGATGCACCGCCAGAGGTCAGCCACGCTCATGACCTACTTTTCCCTTGTGACGACGTGTGCAGGTTTGGAGGAATGGTGACCCCGTTTACGGAGCTCCTGCAGTTAATGGCAGCAGCCTGGCTAATAACTCTTTAACAGACTGGCCGCGTAAACACAAAAGCCCTGGTGAACTCACACACTAGCAAAAAAAAAAAAAAACCCTCAAGTGCCAAACTGGACTGTGCGCATCCCAGAGACACACGTCGATATTTTCTCTCTTTCGTGCGGCCTGTCTCTTTCCGTTAGGCCAACACTGAGTGGCTGCTGGTCTGCCCCATGTGACAACTGCATGATGCATGACTGGATGGTGCGCACACACGGGGAGGGGGCGATTCGCACTCGCTCCACAGTTGAGTGGACACGAGCTACAAGACAACATTCAGCAGGATCTTTTCGGTGTGACATTTGACAACGGGCAGCTCTTTGAAACGTTTCACAACACACACGTGCGGTAAGCCGACACAGCCAATTACTAAACGAACACACGAGACCTCGCACCACCACCTCATTTATTCTAAATGCACACCAAGCCCCCGAGCCCCCACACAGTAATGGGCTTAACCAAATGTGTGTGTGTGCGTGTGCAGCTGGAGCATAACCAGATGTGTCTTCCTGCAAGGTATCCAGCAAAGAGAAACGTTGGGATTTTGAGCTGCTGCTGCTGCTGCTGCAGGGCCCGGCAGGCCTATCTTCCCTCCGCATGTTTATGTTCTGGGATATGTTGCTAAGTGCTGAGAGGAAATGTGCGCGTGTGCTCGAAAAGCCGACGCATGTTCCACACTAATTTACATCGGAAATGCTGACAAGTAAGGCAACACTCCAGGCACAGCGGCTGTGTTCAAAACCCAAAGTCAAAGAATGTGTGCCTGTGTCACTTTTGGCACGTTTATGCTCGGACATGCGCTCACCAGTGTCCTGTAGGTGGGATGAAGTATATGCAACAGTGGACTCTGGAGTCCGGGATCCTCTTCTTCCTGTTAATGTTTATCTCCTCTTGCAGATATGCCTCGTACTGGTCGTTAATAAATTTCATGATGGGCTGCCAGCTGGATGATGGAGAGGCAACACAAGAATGGGGAAGAAAAAAAAAAAGAATTTAGTCAGAGGAAAGCTAGAAAGTCCACTTGTGACCAAATCGGACGGTGACGAGCGGCAGGCACGTCAGCTTTGAGATGTTCCACTGTTTACATTCAACGTAATCTAAAAATGTAAATGTACCAGTTCTCATTGTTGATCTGATCTCCAAAGCCAGGTGTGTCGATAACCGTCAGCTTCATTCTCACTCCCTTCTCCTCGATGTCTGCGCGAAAACAAACGCACACGAGGTCAGTCCGTGCCGTGCCTACTTACTGCGTTCTTACGAGTCTTTATTGTGGTGAAAAATAGAGGGCGGCAGTAGTGGACTGTATACCATGACTGATCGATTTGATTTCAATGGTCTTGGGGATCTTCTCCTGGGCGGTGGCCATCACGGACTTGCGACTGACTTTGGACTTGAACAGGGTGTTCATCAGAGTAGACTTGCCCAGGCCACTTTGTCCTGTGCGAGAATACAAAAAATAAAATAAAATAAACATTTTAAAAAGGGGAAAAAGTGAGTAAATCAATTCCGGAATTAAAAAGTTGAACATTTCAGACACATTTGAGAACAGAGCAATGCCACATGACGTTTGGATAATGAAGTTCAGACAGGGGGGTGGGGGGGGGGGGATTTTCAAGGTGTTTGCAGTTTGCATGCGTGCGATTAGTGCCTGATCACAGTCATGATGTGAATGAGGCGTTCCAGGCATCCCGACTGCGTCTGCAAGCTGATTACAGTTCATTTTGACTGCACCGTTTTCTCTCAGACCTTGATTAGAGACGAAAAGTAGCATCATGGCTGAATAACAGGAGCAGGCTGGAAAAGACGAATTGCCGGGACTCTAATTTTACGACTATTGAAGGCTTAGAAAAGGCAAGTAATTGTTATCATTATGTTATGATTAGAAATCATCCGAGCAGTTAAACCGAGTCGGAGTCCACAAGTATACGTTTTTAGCCTTCACGTAAAGGTGCGTTGTCTTTAATTAGGAAAAAAATATTAATAACAGTATACAGTGTAACTTCCAAACTGGAATTCACACCACGGGGGCTCCTTTCAATCTTCCCGTACAATTTCTCCACGACGACAGACTTTCTCCCGCTTACCTACAACCATGATGTTGAGCTCAAAGCCCTGCTTCATGGCCTTCCTCCTCATCTGCTCCAGGATGGCGTCGATGCCCACGTAACTGAAATCCACCACGGGGGCCGCGGGCCTGTCGCTGTACGGCGCCGCGGCGTCAGGCGCCACCGTGTCGGCCATGGCACTGCTGGTGGGGCTCGAAATCACTTCCAGCCCTAAATAGACAACGGGGAGATGAGAGAGGTGGTCAGATGTAACATTAGCACAAGGATGGGGGTTGGGGGTGGGGGGTTTATCGGAGTATCATGTTGTAGACAGTGCAGGAACTTCAAATCTTTGTCAAATAGACTCGTTTCGTTTCACATAAAGCGGATTAAAATACTCCAGGATCAGTACATGGAAGCGGGAACCAGCATGAGTGGAGTTTTAGAGATCATTTGCTAGATGTTCACTTTCCATCCCACATGCAAGTCTGCACTTGAAACTGAAACCGATCCAGCAAACAAAGGAGGAAGAGAGTCATCCGTCAAACCGCAGAAAACATTCGATTTCATCACCAGCTCTTTAGGCAACGCTAAAACTGAATCGTCATCATTTTACCTGCTGAGAAACTGTCACCATCGCCATCCATCTCAAAATGTACTATCCAGTTTATGACATTTACCGGCATGTGTGAAGGCTTTAATAGAACGACTTAAGGGCCGGATTGAGAGATTGTACATCGGAGCAGTTGATAAAAGTCAACACGTCCTCGTGCTCCTCGTTACTGTGACTTGATGTGAAGATGGAAAAAAAAAAAAAAGTGCTTAAGCCAGAAAACCGCGACACAAGACACTCCTGCGAACTATCAGCCTTTCCTCCTTATCACACAGCGTTGGCCCGGAGGCACGCACACGCCCGAGCTCATGACAACATGAGCGACGGATTTATCAGCTATTGGGATTCCAGTGATGCATAAATCCTACTCCCCTTCCGACAGAGCAACGAGCCACTTTGTACTAATCCGCTCAATCCCGCATCACTCGAGAGTTCTATCAACAGAACCGCACTAAGAGGGTCAGTGCACTTTGAACTTGGCACCGCATTGATGACGACAAGAAAAAATTGGGGGTTGGAGAACGCTGCCGTGTAAAGTGGCGGCTAATTCAAGATCGACCAGTCTTACTTTGACGATGTGCTCCTTTGTGCGTCCGTGTCAGTCGCACCTATGGAAGCAGCTTGTCATTGGCCTCCAACACCACTTCCCCATCCTGTTCCAGTCGTCAGCAATTTAACGTGACTTACTGCCCTCCACCTCCGCGCCACACCCCCTACATTCCTGTCCCTCGGCGCCTGTCTTTCAAGCTCACCCTTTTCTCCCCTCCTGAAATGGAAATTATTCTGCCTTCCTCCTTGCAGTGATATATTTCGATTTCAAATACATCGGTCAGAAAATGTAAAGGACCTCTTTCAAACTGCTGCTCCCAGAATTTTTGATGTCTTTGTGATGCTACAAAGACGTGATGACAGAGCACAAAAAAAAAAATCTCTTGAAAGTGAGTGTACACAATATTGAACTGTCAAAATATATTTGATACAATATGAGGCGGACAACAAAAAGCTTTTCTTAGCTAGCAACCGATGGGCGAGTACGGACACCCGGTATCGGTTTCGGGACGATACCGGACTTATTTTAAGGCATCGGGTACTCGCGAACGGTGTCGATACAAACCCCGAATAATCTAAGGCAAAAATATCAAAAATAAGAGTCCTCCTCAGCAGTAGGTGGCGCTATATGACAGCCCATTGATATAAGGCGGCGAATTATCAGCATCTGTTAACATTTTTTTTGTCACTGTATGATTTTTTTTTTCAATGATACACCGTGTCGTACATATTTCAAAGATTTTAAGTTACAACTGAACAATCTTCGATAAAAGTAAATCGCAACTTTGCAAATATTGGAAAATGAGAACCACTGGAGTTTCGCTGTCAAACCAAACACAGTGAAGCTCTTCAAGAAAAACTCCTATTTGACAACATTTTGTCTTCCCTTGACCAAGGTGGCGCGTTCATGTCGCGGTCCTGAGCCAGTTAACCCAGGTGTCCGCAGACAGCCGGTTGGAGCGTGACGCCATGAATGTTAAAAGGCATCACATGAGAACTACCTGGTCCTGGTGGTTTACCATCTGGCGGACGTTATCTGCACGACTGGTTCATGCCAGGTCAAACGGGGATGACAGCAGACCACACACTCACAGACACACTACAAGAAAATCCTCATAATAAGGCAGGGTTGAATGAACATTGGCCGGTAGATTCTATTCAATGAAATACTGCAACTGTGACAGTGTGTCGGTCTGCATTTAATGGAAGTTTTAAGCTCAGGGAAACTTGATAGAATTTGTCACCAAATTTAACTTGCGATTTAAATTGTTCACATGCAGGAGACAAAATCATTTTAAGTGACAATATTGTGTTGCTGTAGTCTTCTGCATTTTTTTTTGACTCCCACAACACTTTTCACTGATGTTGAGTTTTTGGAGGCCTACTGCAGGTGATTGATCGACTGATCACGACACCCTTTCACTGAGTTGAAGTGCTGCTTTATTGTCATTCATCTTTAGTTTCGGAAGGGATTTCCCCCGTGTCAGATTACGGGATGGCATGTTTCCTTTGTTCCGTTTAACCCAAAAAAAAAAAAAAAAAGCTACCGAATAACAATTTGAAAAAGAGGATGACTCATCAGCGATACTGTTTTCAATTATAGACACCAAAGAATTTTTCTCTTGCCTCCTGAACTTATTGGGTTGCATTGCTTGTCGGGAAATATTACTCGGCCTTCTGCTGCAAAAGTTTTTCGGAGGAGGAAATAGTTTAGAGTAGGAAGGACTGTGTGTGTGTGTGTGTGTGTGTGTGTGTGTGTGTGTGTGTGTGTGTGTGTGGGGGGGTAATCTGATGTTCATAGGCTAAGAGATAAGGGAAGCAAAAAAAAAAAAAAAGGGTGATTTACTTCAGTTTGTAAAACCCCTTCCTGAAGAAATGCAACCAGATGAAACCCTGCAAAAAAATAGCAAAAGTGCAGATGTGGTCGAAGCCACTAGGCCAAACACCAGCTACCCCAAATGTTGTTCTTGACAGCATTGGTGAGCAGGTCAAAGGTTACGTTCCCACTTTAGGTCAGGCTGAATGATGTCCCTCTGTGACAAACTGCTGGCTTGATCTTTTCCACAAACTACATCTGACGGCAGGGCTCGGGACAAAAGAAAACACGATAGCTCAACATGGGTCAACAGTCAAGGATTGAAATGTGACAAGAAATATGCAAATCCCCCAGAGAAGGTCTCTGAAATGTTGCTCAGACACACACAAGATCGCCGCTTTGTACAAAATCTGTCAGGTAGGCAAGGGGGGGATCGTTTTCTCCAAAGAGCGGCCACGTCAAACACACATTAGCGGACAAGCCCACTAAATGGGTCATTTGGATCTTTGCTCTGCTCAAGAATGTTTTTTTATGGGCTCCCTTTGAGAACATTCTCTCCTTTTGTCCTTTATTTATCATTCCCAAGCAGGACAAAGTGGGGTCCCGTCTCATTTTAACGTGGCCAAATGTGTTTTGATTGCGACCCAGATGTTTCGGAGCAAATATCTTGATGGTGACTTCTCCAGTGAGTCTGGAACTGCTTGTTCATGGCAAGCACCCAAATGCAACTGCGACGACATCATACTGTGGGCTGACAATCCAATCAACTGTGTGGATTCAAGACGGCACACGTTCCCCATTTTTATGGCAAATATCCAAACGAGGAAAATCAGCAACTGGTGGCACTTCAAACGTGATCTGCGTCATGATTAAAGTCAGAGCGCTTGTGCGGAAAGAGTCGTCGTCATACTCTGAAGATATGTGCCCTTTGACCCCTGCATGGTCTTACTCGCTCGACTGCCAGTGTGCATTTATTTGCATGTGATGATGCTTCTTATGCTATGGCAACACTTAGCTAGCCACCGACTTACTGGCTGCCATGTGCTCATTTTTGGCTTGTCTATAGTGTTAATGCAAGCTTGGTATTACCATTTTGTGTGAGCTGGACGACCCCCCGAAGTTAAGTATGTGTTGACCGTATGTGAGGATTCAAGTGTGCCAGAACGCATCAGCACAAATAAAGTGACTTTGCTCGCTTCCCTCATTGGCCATAAGAATGTAAACAGGAAGGTTTGCTCAGTGGACTGGAAAGCGACAAACAAATACAGCAGCCGAAATAAACACACAACATAGCAAAACTTTTGGCGTGTGTTAATAATTATCTGGACAGTCCCGCAGGTATTATACACACTAGATACGAGCTGCATTTTTAAAAGGCAGGACCTAAAAGGATGCAAATTTGAACACACGTGAACAGCAAATATGCAAAAGCAAAGATGTGTCCAGTAAATCAACAGTCTCAAATGTGTTTACATGCCACCTGCCAGTTACATCACAATGGCTTTCAGGCGTCGGAGGATATCATTACCACAAGACGGGATTTGGGAAATGCTTTGAAAGTCAATCAGCGACACAGAACGGAAATCTTTGAGGTACGACGGTCACGTGCGTGTTTTGTCCACATCTATGTGATGCCATTTCTGATACCAAGAGTGCCAATTTTGATTCCATGCCAGTTGCAAGTCGCATCAACATGTATCATATCTCCGAAACGTGTTGAGAAATGTTTGCGAATTGGCAATAACGACTGCAAGAGTCTACTCGCGAGTGCCAGAGGAATGCGTTTTGTGAGCATGTCTTTCCAGGCTCGGCCTCAAACGGCGTGACGCTCAGATGAACAAGGTCACTCAAGAGGAATCGTGTACATATGCAACACCACTTTGGGATCATTTACTGGTGCAGATTTAACTTCACGTCAATGATCCCATTCAAAAGAAGACCCTGGTCAAAATGCTAGCCATTAAACCCCTCAGCGGGTTAAACCCAACGGCTACGATCACGTAGGAGGTTTGACGAGAAATCAGAATAACGAGTACGCTAGCTAATATTCATGCGAGTGACTCACCGACGGGTACTGATGAATGTCATCAGATTGACCTGGAGTGAGCCAGAGCACAATGGGGGTCAAAGTGCATCAGCGGAATGGCTGACTGACATCAAGCATGGAGCCGAATGGAATCTCACCTCTGTCCTCATATTTATCTTACTGATTTCAAATACATGAAAGGAGGAGTTAGGAACAGTTACAGGACA